GTTTTACTACCGCGAAGCCACGAGCCTCTCGCATAGAATCCCTTTCAAGTCCGTGTCAAGCCACTCTTAGAAGTCCTGTTAAGTCATACATGATGCATAAGCCCTAAGTGATTTGACCCTTGGCGTCAGTCCATATAATTAGTAGCCAGCCTCTCGTCAAAAGGGCCCCAACACCCTTAGACAAATTGCATATTTATGTGTCAACGTGATCATAATAATTAATTCAAGCCAACATTGCCAAAATGGAGTTTAGAAGTCGTTTGTTACTTTGTTTGCAGAGTCATGGCTCACCCTCACTTTCCCAACACGCAAATGGTGGTCAAAGTTAATCCCATTTTGAAGACTTGGTGGAAAGATATTCAAAAAAATTGAGAGTTAGAAGCAAATGAATTGTTAGGCGGCCTCACTGCTTTGATCTCCGTAGAGTCAGATCGTCACTTAATCAAGGCATTGTTGAAATTCTGGGACACTGAGAGGTTAGTCTTCAAGTTCAAGGATTTTGAGCTAACCCCAACAATCGAAGAAGTTGGAGGATTCATGGGTCTCGATACAAAGAGCTAGAAATGATTGTTCCACATAAGCCAAGTCTAAGATCTTTTCTGAAGCAAATGGGCATGTGTCATAATCCAAGTCTACTTTGTCTGAAAGAAGTTTGAATTTCTTTAGAGTTCTTACATTCACGCATTGGGGATGAGAAAGGTCATCAAAACTTTCATAGAGAATTTGCTTGCTCTTCTGCGAAATGGGAAAGGTATCGTCTTAATGCATTCGTCGTCGCCCTATTAGGCTCATTGGTTTTTCCTAGAGAAGAAGGAAAGATCTACACCGGTTTGTGTTACGTGGTTCGTAAATGTTGGCTCGAGGTGGGAAGACCTTGGACCCCATGATACTTGCAGAAATTCTAAGAGCTTTGACTGCATGCACCAAAGGCAAAAGATACTTTGAGGGGTGCAACTTTCTGCTGCAACTTTGGGCCGTCGAACATTTCTACCAAAGAGCTAATAAAGTAGACATTGTTAGAGGGACTATGGGGAACAAAATTATCAACCATACCCTAAGGATGAAACATTTTATCTCCCCTGTGGGAACAGAGGACTGGTTCACATACCTAAAGGAGCGCTCAACCATTGAAATCCAATGGAAGTATTATTGGTTGAAGCCACGACGTGCCATCATAAGAGGAAATGAACTTTACTTCATTGCTTATCGGTTTGAATGATGTGCAACCATACGCACCACTTAGAGTCCTTCGACAATTCGGACAGATCCAAATGATACCTCTGCGATCCCACATGAGCCACTATGGATATGACTTTGGGTCAGAATTACCGCAAGTGAACACTATAACTATCGATGTTCAAAAGCACCGACCCTTCTGCACACCTGAATATTATGTATGGCTTTTAGAGGATGCAGAGCATAGAGATTTGAGTGAAGGAGGTCTTCCTGGTTTTGGCAATGAAAAAGAGAGAAGATGGGCTCGCAACCTCCTCAACACCGATTATGACATAACCCCAGAAATGAGGAAGCAGATTGTGCCTAACATTGGAGAGCAGCATAATTAAAGTTTTTTATTTTTTTCTCTTTATTCCCCATATGTTACCCCTAGCCCTTTAGTTATATTTAGATTGATGTAATAAATAGAAATTATTTCAATAATCAAAAGTCGTTTTATTGTCTAACTCTAAACTCTAAATTGGCAAACAAGGCTTGAATTAATTATTATGAATCACTTACGTGTCGCTTAGGCCTACTCTGGCTCAACGAGGTTCCATGAATTTAGGGCGTTTATCTCAAAACAACGTGTTGATATTTTCCTAACCCCTAACTCTTTTCTTTTGATTCTATTGTTTTCCCATTTCCCAAGGTTGATCTGTCCATCATCCTGGCACATACACGATCAAAAGGGACCCCCACTTCTCCTTCTTCTCAAAGAGTAAGCTCCAAACACAAAGGTAAAATGGTTGACGACAACAGCACCAATGAAAGGGTAGAAGCTTCTGAGGGAGGACAACTTCAAAATGATCTTGTCCTAAGACTTGAGCGCAAGATTTCACAATTGGAAGAAGAGGTATCCCACATGCGTGATTTGGCCAAGTTGTATATCTCTCTTGGAACCCGATTTGGAGAAAACATAAACAATCCTCCTAACCAAACAGCCATGCCAAACAATCCTCCAATCCATATATCCCCACCTGAACCCACTCGTCCAAATACCTTTCCACCACCCCACGCCCAAAATACCCACGTTCCATTTCACCACTATCACCAACATACCAAACCAACCTTCCCAGAAACAACCCCAAATGCAAATATCCCATATACTCTTGGGAACAACAATCCCAATCCCATATACGTTGAAACTGCCCCTCTGACCCATGACCTCCATGAATCAGAGTCCCATCAAAAAGACATCCTAATAAAAACCCTGACTGAGAGATTAAACAACTTGACCAACAGGGTACAACATGTTAAAGAAAACAAGAAGTTGGGAGGATTGAGCTATGAGGATCTGTGCATGCATCCTGATGTAGAACTACCCGAGGGGTACAAGCTCCCAAAATTTGAGACGTTCAATGGCATTGGGGATCCCAAAACCCACCTACGAATGTATTGTGACAAACTTGTAGGGGTGGGGAGAGATGAGAGGATACTCATGAAGTTTTTCATGAGGAGTCTTACTGGGGAGGCCCTATCATGGTACATTGAGCAAGACTCGCGGAAATGGATAAAATAGGTTGATATGGCAACTGACTTCATGAATAGGTTTTACATTCAAAATTTGAAGAAGAAACCAAGTGATTCCTTCAGAGAATATGCCATAAGATGGAGGTTTGAGGCGTCTAGGCCAGACCCCCTATGGAAGAATCTCAAATGAAAGATTATTTCATCCGTGCCCAAGAACCCCAATACTATGACCGAATGATGCTTGTGGCTGAAAAGAGTTTCGCTGAAATCATCAAACTAGGCGAAAGAATTGAAGAAACCATAAAGAATGGGACTATCATCAACTTGGAGGCTTTACAAGCAACCAACAAGGCTCTGCAATCTGGTGGAATGACAGAGAGTCGAAAGAAAA